TCTGAGAATACTCGGAATCATGCTACCCATCTATGTCGTCACCAAAGCAGTCGCCGCCTGCCGCCGTCATTCTCAGACGTTAGACACCTCTGACTCTGAAGAAGATTCATCTGATGAAGAAACACATTCATGGCACTTGCCTCAAACGCAATCTTACATTATAGGAGTGCCATGAACACTGTTTCTTCCTTTCACACACACAAAAAGTCAATGTCACTGTAAATATATATATAATCTCTCACTTGTACATGTAAAAAATGTTGGATTGGGTTAACATATTGAAAGAAAGAAAAAAAAGGTATCTCATTGGCAAAAAGCTCTCTTCTTATCGCACCACCAAGTGTTTTCCCATATCTGCATTGCAGAGAGACAAAGAAAGATACATTCTACCATGACAACTCTAACTAACCATGTCTGTGTGTGTATTCCAAGACTCAAGACAAGAATCTGTACAATCATTTCCAAACCAGAGACAAAAAGTTAAGAAGAAAAGACCTGAAGCAGGCAACCTTGGGGTCTCAACTTCAAACAAGAGACTTTGTGCTTGTTGTCTGTAAGTTATGAAAACATCAGGAGCTTCTACTTGTTCAATTCCAGCTTCTCCTCGGCCTGAAAAGATAAGGAGATTGGACAGAGAATGAGTGAAAAAACATGTGGAAGAGAGTTGGTAGGTATCATTAGATATAAACAGATAGATAGAAGTAAATACTTGCGGTTCTTCTGCTGCGTCCTCCAGTAACAAGCAAGCGCCCCAAATGCACAGCTGGCGATGGCTATTGCCAATGCAGCTCCAATCGGCACAACCATAGCATTGGTGGCTACTGTCAGGTCTTCAGTGGCTGAGATGGTCTCTTTCTTGCTCCCCATGACATTCTTTTCCTTGTAGAGGGAGACGAGCTTGGGCCCGTAGTAGTTCTTCAAGAACTTGTAGACATGGTCCTCGTCCCATTCTACCTTTTTCTGGCTACTCGAGAGATAGCACGATGAGCAAAGCTCCTTTGGTGGCCATATCATCTTTGGGAACTTGGGGTCACCTGTACCAAGAGAAGCTTCGTCCTTGATGAGTCTCTCGTTTACTTTGTTGTGCGTGCTCCCACGGTAAACTGATACCTGAGAGGATCATGTGGTAAATGACTAAATATTGTCTGATTTTATAAAAAAAAACTTAATTAACCCGTCATTATTTTCCCACGGTTTCATTTAAATAAAATAAAATACAGCTCTTTATAGTAAATAAATTAAATGAAAAAGTTGTGGAGTCGCTTAGAGCATCATTAATGGTGATTTTTTTAAGAGTATCTTACACTAAAAATGATTAAAAAATCATTTAATTTAATGAACCTTTGATGAAAAAGTTATATAAGTAGAACTTAATGAAATGGGATTTTAAGGGTGTCAAATATTTTTAATATTAAAAAATTACTTAAAAACTTTTAATAATGTTAAGGTTAATGATGCTCTTAGGGTTTTAGGGTTGATTTGTCTGCTTTTGTAAATCAATCAATGCCCTGGTGAAGAATTAAAGTAGGGTTCTGATTTAGGCTATATTTTTTTTTGTTCAAGATACTGAAATTAGAGAATAACACAAGAGACAAATAGTAAGAACAAATTTCGTCTTTCTTTTTTTTCATCTCATCAACGATTATATTAAAAGGCAGGAAGGACAATTCAATTACATCCAGAGACACATCTATAACAAGTACAGAGGCTCACAATAGGGGTAACCACAACACGGTCAAACCACCCAAACCATCACCATTATGTACACCAAAAAATACCAAGCATCAAAG